GTCCTGGGTTAGAGGTTCTGTTGTGTGGTGTGTGGTTGCTGGTGAGTATTTGCTTCAGGTTGGGGGGCCAAGATTTGTGAGAGTGATGGGTCGTCCTTCAGGATAGGTTGTAGATCCTTGATAATGCATTGGAGAGGTTTTAGTTGGGGGCTGAAGGTGGCGGCTAGTGGCGTTCTGTTATTTTCTTTGTTGGGCCTGTCCTGTAGTAGATGACTTCTGGGTACTCTTCTGGCTCTGTCAATCTGTTTCTTCACTTCAGCAGGTGGGTACTGTAGTTGTAAGAATGCTTGATAGAGATCTTGTAGGTGTTTGTCTCTGTCTGAGGGGTTGGAGCAAATGCGGTTGTATTGTAGAGCTTGGCTGTAGACAATGGATCGTGTGGTGTGGTCTGGGTGAAAGCTGGAGGCATGTAGGTAGGAATAGCAGTCAGTAGGTTTCCGGTATAGGGTGGTGTTTATGTGACCATCGCTTATTAGCACCGTAGTGCCCAGGAAGTGGATCTCTTGTGTGGACTGGTCCAGGCTGAGGTTGATGGTGGGATGGAAATTGTTGAAATCATGGTGGAATTCCTCAAGGGCTTCTTTTCCATGGGTCCAGATGATGAAGATGTCATCAATATAGCGCAAGTAGAGTAGGGGCATTAGGGGACGAGAGCTGAGGAAGCGTTGTTCTAAGTCAGTCATAAAAATGTTGGCGTACTGTGGGGCCATGTGGGTACCCATAGCAGTGCCGCTGATTTGAAGGTATACATTTCGCCCAAATGTGAAATAGTTATGGGTGAGGACGAAGTCACAAAGTTCAGCCACCAGGTTTGCCGTGACATTATCGGGGATAGTGTTCCTGATGGCTTGTAGTCTATCTTTGTGTGGAATGTTGGTGTAGAGGGCTTCTACATCCATAGTAGCCAGGATGGTGTTTTCAGGAATATCACCGATGGATTGTAGTTTATGGATCTTGGGTAGCAGATAGAATACCCCAGGTCGGGGTTCCAGGGGTGTGTCTGTGAGGATTTGTTCTTGTGCTTTTTCAGGGAGTTTCTTGAGCAAATGCTGTAGTTTCTTTTGGTAACCCTCAGTGGGATCAGAGGGTAATGGCTTGTAGAAAGTGGTGCTGGAGAGCTGCTGAGCAGCCTCTTGTTCATATTCTGACCTATTCATGATGACAACAGCACCTCCTTTGTCAGCCTTTTTGATTATGATGTCAGAGTTGTTTCTGAGGCTGTGGATGGCATTGTGTTCTGCACAGCTGAGGTTATGGGGCAAGTGATGCTGCTTTTCCACAATTTCAGCCCGTGCACATCGGCAGAAGCACTCTATGTAGAAGTCCAGTCTGCTGTTTCGACCTTCAGGAGGAGTCCACCTAGAATCCTTCTTTTTGTAGTGTTGGTAGGAAGGTCTCTGTGGATTAGTATGTTGTTCAGAGGTGTGTTGGAAATATTCCTTGAGTCGGAGACATCGAAAATAGGATTCTAGGTCACCACAGAACTGTATCATGTTCGTGGGGGTGGAGGGCAGAAGGAGAGGCCCCGAGATAGGACAGATTCTTCTGCTGGGTTAAGAGTATAGTTGGATAGATTAACAATATTGCTGGGTGGGTTAAGGGAACCATTGCTTTGGCCCCTTGTGGCATGCAGTAGTTTAGATAATTTAGCGTCCTTTTTCTTTTGTAGAGAAGAAACGTATGTGTTGTAAATGGCTTGTCTAGTTTTAGTAAAGTCCAGCCACGAGGAAGTTTGTGTCGAAGGTTGGGTTTTTTTGAGAGTATCCAGTTTTGAGAGCTCATTCTTAATCTTTCCCTGTTTGCTAAAGGCACTAAAGGCATCAATTTGAAAATAACAAGGCTGCATAACTAAGGGCATAACTTGACCTTTAGAACCTTATTACTGGTGGTAATGCAGAAAAATGGAAACATTTCCCCTTAACTCTCAGAGCACAGGCTGAGTTTACAGGGCTGACCATTATAAAAATCATATTACTTGTAATTACTTGTATTTAACAAGGAAATTATGAGAGATACTAAACTAGATCTGGTTAAAAACCTGAACATTTTCTGATGAATGGTTTTTTGGCAGGAGAGGGTTGTTTGGTATTCAGCTTATCCTCTTCTTCAACCTTTTGCTGATTCCAAACCATGTTTCATTGGAAGGGATCATATCTCTTCGTTCTATTTTACCCAGGATTTATAACAGTTGAGGTAGTGGTTACCCAATCAGAAAAAAAAAGAAGATGACTCGTTATTATAGCTATGGCTATTGTAACAGAATTACAGTAGCTGTTCATAAATTATATTTACATTTTGCCTCTCAGTGGAATAAATGATAGATTAGAAGAGCCAAATGATTACACTATTTCCATATAACTTTCAAGCAATTTTCTTATTTCAAGTCTTCCACCTCTGTCATAACTTGTTGCCCCATTTGAAAGCCATTTTCTTGAGGACTAATGTACTACAAGCAATTCAGGAGAAAGAATTGTAATCAAGTTGTAATTTGAAACGCAACATGTAAGAATTAGCTAGTTGGCTCCTGTTCTGCTTCAGACATAATTCAATACAGGTCATGGAAACTCTAGCTACTGGATGCAAGCTTTGAGAAATTTCCAAGAACACATTCCAAGTGATTCAAGAGTTAAGATCCATTTGTACAGACCTTATAAAACCTTGTGCTTTACTTCTAACTAAAGCAATATGTGACATATAGTGGACTTCAGGTTTTTTAAAGCCTCGTGAAGTTATTCCTGCTCCTTTCCCATCTTGGTCTCTGTGGCCTAAACACCTTTGAGGATCTGGGCCTACGTCTTTCCCCACCTTTCTCACATCCTATTTCTTTCATTTCATTCCTCATGATAAGGAAGGTGAACTGTACATCTTCTCCTTCTCCTCACCCCCCCTTCCATGTAGCTGGGAAGTGTTGCAGTGGTGACAGCAAATCTCTCTTTGTTCTGTGTTTGTACAGTGCCAACCACAATGGGGTCTATAATAATAATATTTTGCCAACTTGAGCATTCAGAATTTATGAGTTAGGCCACAAAAAAAGACAAGTGTTTTTTTTTAAGTCTTGGGTCCTTTTTATTTGTCTTCTGGTTTTTGAGCTTTTGGGGTGCACTCACTTCATGTTTTCAAGCTTTTCTCCACAACTAGAATTTTTTTTATTTAAATGAAAGCTGGGATTCTCATGTAATCACTTGATTCCAGCAGTTGGGGCTTTAAGAAAACTACCAAATATTACAAGACTCAATAAAAAATTACAAAAATTGGCAACACTCCTTCCCTTGCCTTCTCTTCCCTACTGCCCCGCCCAAGTGTTATCTGAAAAGCCAGAAGGCCAAGCTGCTGGGTGTTTTACCAGAGCTGACTAGTAGAGAGCTCTTCTGCTAACAAAAAACTTCCATCCCCCATGAGCGGCAGCAGCAGCTTCTTCGGCAGGAGAGCGCTCCTGCTGACAAAGCACTGTTCACACCGGTGCTTCTTGTTGGTAAAACTTTTGGCATATTTAACACCCTTGAATGACAAAAGTTTTGCCGACGAAATGCCAATGTAGACAAAGCCTAATCTTCGCTCTTTAATTCTGCCTAAGAATAATCAGAGCCAGAGCTAATGCACTCAGGCAACTGTCATGTTATTTTAGGGCTGTCTTCTAAAACGTGGGAGCCAATTAGCTACAGGTTCCATACAATCCCCAAAACTGGCTCTGATGACAAAACTTTGTAACATTCTGTATGTTCTGATGAACCTGTTCTTAGTTGCACCCAAGTCAAGTCATATTTGCCAAAAAAAACCCCCACAAAATTCCCAGCACAATCATTGGTTTCTGGTCATGTGTCCCAGAGTAGCTGGGATTTCAGATTGGTAAAATCTGGGATGCTTTAGAGGCAGCTGCTGCCAATCTCTGTTGCCTTCAGTACTCTGATGGCCTGCAAACTGGGAGTGCCTCCCTGCAGAGAAATGGATGAGAGGGACAGCTAAGTAGGTAGCCTCACAAACCAGCCTTTTGCAGTGGGAACACCCTCAGACTCTTTCTCCAGTCCAACAAAGGATGTGTCTTTCCAGCCCAATTAGGGTAAGTCTTCACTACCAAGCTGCTGCCGTGGCGGTGCTTTAAAGTGGCTGTGTCCTCGCGTCACCAGTGCTGTAAAAAACCCCACCCCACGAGGGGTGTAGCTCCCAGCACTGTGAGCGTGGTTCCCAGCGCTGTAGCACTCTCTACACTGCCGCTTTACAGCGCTGAAACTTGCATCGCTCGGGGGGTGTTTTTTCACACCCCTCAGCGAGAAAGTTTCAGCGCAGCAAAGTGGCAGCGTAGACAAGGCCTTAGTGTTACCCCAACTCGACTTCTGTCCACAGTCCACACACAAAAATGTCTAGCTCAAGTAAAGTGGTGCTTTAAACTCAAGCTAGTTGGCCCTTCACGGGGCATGGGGCTGAAGTTCGAGTGATGCTGATGCTAGAGTAATGTAGTGCGGATGCAACAGTTCCAGTTACAACAAATCACCAGCTAATGTGGTCACTCTGCCGCAGCCATCGCTCTGCTAAGCCAGTCACTCTGTGTAACTCCGGGGCTGTTCGGAAGCCTGTGGTCACTCTCACTGGAGCTAGGCTAGCGCCAGAGCAGTCACTTGAGAGTACTAACTCCAGGTAACTGTGGAAGCAAAAGGAAGCCCACAGGGGCCAGGAGAGGACACACCATGAAGGCGAGGAGGAGGAGAAGAGGGGACTTCGGGCAAAGAGGAGGGAAAGACAGACTGAGCCTCCTAGGGCAGGGAAAGACATCAGAGGGAGCCACACCACAGGGCAGAAGGGGAGGGAAACGAGGACAGAGCTGGCGCTCCGCTGCTTCCCAGTCAGGCCCCGGGAGCCAGCCTGCCATGCGTTTGGAGCAGCCGGGCAAGCCACGGGCTCTTGTCGAGCAGGAACCGCCGGGTGGCGACAGCAGCAGAGCCGCTGGCCGCCGCTAGAGGCCGCTGGACCCGGCACAGCCCGGCTCCGCGGCTAGCAGTGCGCCTGCGCGGGAGGCGGCGCTCGGGGCTGCGGTTCCCGGCACGCCCTGGAAGAAGGCGGCGAGTGCGCCGCGGCCCCGCGGTCAGCGGAGCGCTCGGCCCGGCAGGGATGGACGCCGTGCGGCTCTGCGCGCTCTGGCTGCCCGGCCTGGTCCTCATCCGCCCGGGGTCGGGAAGGGGCCCGGGAGACCCGACTGTACCGGGTGAGGAGGGGCGGGGCCGCACAGCAAGGGAGCTGCGCGGAGCGGAGCCCGTGGCCGGGCTTGGGGGCTCCCCGGCTTGAGGGGTGTGGGGGGGCCCGGGCCGGGGGGCGCCGCGCAGTTAGATTCTGGGGGCTGCTGGCGCCCGGCTCCGGGGCTGGGGGGGCCCCGCCGGTGCAGTGCGGTTGGGCTCCGGGAGGGGGGGGGCGCCGGTGCAGTGCGGTTGGGCTCCGGGAGGGGTGGGAGGGGGCACAGAGGTTGGCTGCCCCCCCGGTAGCACGTGCCTTGGTGCGTGTAGGGCAGGCCGGTTTCCCCGCCCTCAGTAGCGGGGCCTCTCTCCAGCCCGCCTGGGGTGCTGCATAGGCAGGGTAATGGGAACAGGGCGAAAAAACGAGACCCCACTGCCCCCCGTGTAAATTTCTAGTGAATGTGTAGACCTGCCCTAAAACACCCTAGGGGCAGAGTTTTTCCCCAAGACGGGCCAGCTGTGACTCACCCGGGGTGAGGCTCCCGACAAGAGCCTAACGGAGAAACAGGAACTGGGTTGTCCTTTTTTTTTTTTTTAGTTCTTTCTGCAGTAACTGCGAGGCCAGGGTTTCACATCGGATAGCTTCACACCTTCTCTACACTACAAAATTTAAATTGACCTAAATTAGCTCACAGCTGGAGCTCCCTCCCCTCTCCCGGCTGATGAGCTCTGCTCTCCAAATTTACATGGGTGCATTTGGCACTGGCTTGGACTGTCAGCCCCTTGGAGTGGGGGGACCTCCAGCTGTGAGCTCATGGCAGGGCTGACAGGCCCAGAGCAGGGAGGACTCCACCTGTCCGTACCTGTCACAGTTAAGTTGGTGGAAGCACTCCTGGTTAGGGTGTGCACCACTGAATGCAGATGCATCTGAAGAAGTGGGGTTTTTTTTACCCACGAAAGCTTATGCCCAAATAAATCTGTTTAGTCTTTAAGGTGCCACCGGACTCCTTGTTATTTTTGTGGGTACAGACTAACACAGCTAGCTCTCTGATACCTGGCACCACTGACAGAGGGCGTGTAGTGTGAACATGAACCACCACAGTAATTACTATGGTGGCTGTAGGTTGACCTAACTCCGGTCAACTTAATTTTGTAGGTCTTACATCAATCTGACTCTGTTGCTTAGAGCAAGCCTCAGTCTGCAGGACTCAGCTCTTTGTACAGCACTATTATTGTGGGATGGGGCTATGCTCCAGAGAAAGTATGCTGGACAAATAAAATGACTGCCTCGAAGAGATTAGTGGTAGAGTCACAAATGTCTATATTTTAGCTAAAATCCTCATGCCGTTCATTCTTGGTTTAGTACTGGTCAGGTTGGTAGAACAGCAGGGTTTTCAAAGGTTTGAAGAGGCGAGAATACATCCTCTGTGTGTTGTCTCCATACATGAGGGATGGGTTTTGTAATGAGGAATGGTTGAGGTATTCTAGATTGATGGACTGCTGCCATACTAGTTATCCTCTGGGCACCAGAACTGTGCCAGGCCATTGAAGGCTCTTGGTAAAAATATCTTCCAACTTTAATAGTTATTGACAGGTGTTACAAGAAAATGTTTTAATATGGTTGGCTTTCATTAAAGTAGATTGTGAGAATTACATTGTAATGAATACTCAGGATTCAATTTGAGCAGACCAGCTGTCTTCCACAAAGATTTCTCCATGAAAAGGAATATTAAATTTCCTCTCTTCCTTCCCCCCACCAGCTGCTCAATGTATTGTGACAAAAGTGGACTTTTTTTTTATTCTGCTACTAAAATATGGGATGAACCAACAAGAGCCAGAGCAGCTAACACCTCTGTAAAATAGTGTACTCTGAGAATGCAAATCTGACTCTAAACATTGATTACTTGCACTGTGGGAATTGTGTACTTCCTACATTCAGCTCTTCATCTCCTTTTAGGCCATATCTAGGTGAGGGGGAAAAGTGTATTTTTAACACACGTTAAAATCTTACAGCTTTTCTATGTATAAAAATTATACAGCTTTAACTGTGTTGGTATAGTTAGGTGGTACAACCCACTAGTGTGGATGCAGTTACAGTGGTATAAGGATGTTTAATATCATGGTAGCTTAATCCTGTGTGAGATTCATAGATTCCAAGGCCAGAAGGGTTCATGGTTATCATTTAGTCTGACCTCTGGTATAACAGGCTGTATAACTTCTCCAAAATAATTCCTAGAGCATATCTTTTAGGAAAAACAGCCTGTTTTGAAAATTGTCAGTATATGGAGAATCCACCGTGATCCATGGTAAATTGTCTCAGTGGTTAATTACTCACACTGTTAAAAATTGACACCTTGTTTCCGGTCTGAATTTGTCTAGTTTCAACTTCCTTTGTTATTCCTTTCTCTGCTAGATTGAACAGCACAGTATTAAATATTTGTTCCCCATGTAGATACTTGTAGATTGTAATCAAGTCACTTCTCTTATCTAAAATAAATAGATTGAGTTCTTTGAGTCTCTGACTACAAGGCATTTTTTCTAATCCCTCAGTCATTGTCATGGCTCTTCTCTAAACCTTCTCCAATTTATCAACATCCTTCCTGAACTGTGCGCACCATAACTAGACACAATATTCCAGCAGTGATCACATTGTACCAAGTATCCTCTCTACTACTCAAGAGTCCCCTGTTTATGCATTCCAGGATCACATTAACTCACTTGGCCACAGCATCACAATGGGAGTGCATGTTCAGCTGATTATTCACCACAACCTCTGAATCTTTTTCAGTCACTTCTTCCCAGAATAGAGTCCCCCTTCCTGTGAGTGTGGACTATATTCTTTGTGCATGTATACATCTACATTTAGCCATATTAAAATGCATATTGTTTGCTTGCACCCAATTTATGAAGCAATCCAGATCATTCTGAATCAAGGACTTGATACCTTCATTATTTACCACTAGTTATCAGGCATCTTTATACTGATACAACTGTTATAACTATTGGGGTTAAAAAAAATCACTTGCCTACCTGAAATAGCCAACCCAATACAAAAACTATGTAGAAAAGGCAAGTTTTGATTTTTAGTGTGTGTTAAAAATACACCTCTTTTTCCTAGTAAAGACAAGGTCTTGGAATCTTGAAATTTTATGGATATATTATCAACTTGAAATCCAGTTATGTTAAAAAGACTTGAAAGTAGTTTCTAAGTACTGGACTGGCTTCTGAATCTGCCTACCAATATTTGGTTTTGATTGCATTTTCCTATATTTAAAAATGTTTTATTCTCTCTCCCCTGTTGCTGTTTGAAAGACCAACACAAACAGGAAAGGGAAAGCTGTACCTGACTGCAAAGCAAATAGTGAAAACAGCTGTAAGCTGTGCTATAAAATGCACAGAGTAAAACAAAATGAAAATTAGAAAATATATTTTCTAATTTATCTTTCACTTACAGTAATTTTAGGTGTTGTAACAACAACAAATAAAAGATTTTAAAATGTCTTCCCCCTCCTCCCCCCATGGTCATTTTGATAGTACAGAATAGGGTGTCTGGTGTAGGGGGGTGTTTTATTAAATTGTGAACTGCTGCTTTGTAAGAGGAGTGAGGCTGGCTGACGTGTATATTAAAAATTCCACAATCAGAATATTTGGCATTTAGAGCTTTTATATGGGTACTGTTTATTTTTATAAATCTAAAGAAATCATTGGTTATGTTGTTCAGGCCCCAGTCCTTCAAAGAGCACGCAAGGTTTTAGGTTATCTGCCAAATCTTCTTGAGAGCCTGTGAAATTTCAGAGTTGAACTAGTCCTGCACCCTATTTACTTTCTTAGCGTAGCTCTTGTGGGTTTTTGCTTCATTTTTGCTTTGAATGACTTCAGTTATAAAAGGTCATCCGTTTAAAAGAAAATTTAAAAATCCCTGGTATTCTCATACCTTTCTGACAATACCAGTGCACTGAATGAACCAATTTCCTGAACTTCATTTAGAAACTTCAGTTTTGTAGCTCTGATCATTGTGAATGTTTTTTTGCCCAGGTGGCATAACATTACTGAAAACTTACATTTGGAGAGTTAAGGAATATTTGCTATAGGCTTTATGAATTTTTCTAAATTTTTATTTCCATTTTTTGCTTGAGGTTGGTGAACTGGCCATACTATTAGAATTAGAAAAGGAGTACTTGTGGCACCTTAGAGACTAACCAATTTATTTGAGCATGAGCTTTCGTGATGCATCCGATGAAGTGAGCTGTAGCTCATGAAAGCTCATGCTCAAATAAATTGGTTAGTCTCTAAGGTGCCAGAAGTACTCCTTTTCTTTTTGCGAATACAGACTAACACGGCTGTTACTCTGAAACCTGTCATTAGAATTAGAGTTTCTTCATTGCATTGGCTACTTCTTGATACAATGTGAACTAATCAGTGAGGGGTTTTAAAATTTATTAATTTAATTTATTAATCTGAATATATTAGTAAATAAAGCACAGATTTGTGTTATACTAAGAATTAATGTCAAAGCAGCAGGAAAATAAATTATGAAATGTAGGGGTTTAAATATCTTCTAGATGTTTTGGAAAAAGAAACCCTAAGCTCTTTGACAATTTTTGTAGACTTAAAACATTTCTTACCTATTTATGACTACTGGATGGTTGTGTAAAAGTAGAACTATATTCCTGACTAGCAGTCTTTACCATCTGATGACTTGCTATGTGTGGCCTGTGTGAAATGAATTGATGGTGTCGTGCCAGTTTCTAGTGGATAGGTATTTGCACACAAAAAATTACAGTTGGAACTCCTTTTGGCAGAGTAGCTAGGAAATCAAGGATTGGTTGGGCAAGTAGACTGAACTATCTTTTAGTCTCTAGAAGTGGTCCATTTAGGTCAGGACTGAGGCACCTCATTGGGCCAGTGAGAAGAAGCTATTCTATCTGTGCTGTGGATGAAGGACCAGACAGTCAGGATGGCATTTCACAAACATTAACCTCTAAACTTTTTCTGAGTTGCAAACAAGTTGCATCCTGTTACCTGCAACTGAAAAATAGCTACAAGTTATAACTGTAGTCATCCTTAGGCAATATGAACAACAATGGGTTTTCTGTGCTTGAAGATACTTTTTTCATTGTAAAACCTAACTAAAATATAGATTAAAACTTCCTATATCACTTGGCTTTTAAAACATCCCTTAACAGTTTTCGTTGAGTTTTTTGCTAAGTAATTTGGTTTCCTGTCTTCAGAAAGTTTTTTTCCTCTTAGAATGAGAAAATGCCTGTCACGAGGTTTTATTTTTTAAACCTTTTTAAAAAGTTCTTGAGACATTTTATGGAAAGGAGGAAAATTTTGATACTAAATCCAGGTTAGGCATTGCTTGGCTTCTGCTTCCAAAGCTTCAGAGCTCAGTTTTCTTCAAATTTAACTGCAAGAGATACAGAATTTCAGCAAAGATGTAGGCAAGCTCAAAACTCACGGTTCACGGATTAAGTCTTCTGTAATCATCTTAGAGAGAACAGTCCTCTTTCACTGATCTTCCTTTTGCGAATTAGAGCCAGGCATGGGCATAAGTTTTTTTCCTAAACAGTGTGGAGGTGAAATTGAGTGTTCAGTGTCATTTTACTTGTTAAAATACTAGTGGAAATGAAAGCTTTTATTTAAAATATAGAAGCAAACTCACCATTCCTTCTTTGCATGTATTTGATAGATGAGGTTACATTTTTGTGTATACATGCTGTGATTAAAAAGTTATATTATTTGATACTATTGATTAAAAAAGGTTCATAACTTTGATATAATTCTTTTTTTCTAGCATGCTCTAATTTCTCCTTCAAGTCCTGTGAAGAATGTCTAAAAAATGTTTCAGTAAGTTTTGTCATCTTTTTACACTATTTTGGGGTCAGAGAATCTGGTGATGCTTACGTTTAATGAGATGATGCTGAAATGTCTTACCACAGCTAACTCCGTAGCTGTGCCGCACAGGCTCAGAGGAGGGTGGGGAAGGAGATAGCAAAGTAGTATAAGTCATTAGACAGTATCATGCTGTCTGGAGTGGCTCACGGCTGTGTGCCTACCTCGGAGCAGACTGTCAAAAGCCGTGCAGACAGCCAAAACTGGTGATACGTTTTATAATTAGATTTCACCAACACAGTAACGAATGTGAACTCCTGGATCACTATATCGGTCTTATTGTAGAGTCACAGACAGTCCCCTTAGGCTCTCCAGTCTATCTTGCCACATAGGCCAGCTGGACTTAGTGATAAATGGTCACTTAGACCAAAAATCACAAAATATTCAGGTCGCTTCCAGTCCTAAGAGACCAGTTACTTACGTCCAGATCAACTGGTACCCTAGATCTTTCACCAAAGACACCGCCTGCAGCCAATCCTGTAATAAACTGTCTAAAGATTTATTAACTAGGAAAAAAGAAAGTTATTTACAGGTTAAAGCAAGCAAACGTACACACACAAATGAGTTGCAATCTAAATCCTAAAAGTGAGAGGAGTTGTGATCTGTCAATTCACAAGGTGTTTTGGCAAATCCAGGGATAACCCTGGAGGGATCTCTTGGTTCAGTTTAGAGTCTCTGGCCATGTGAGATGCAAACAGCAAAGACATGAAAATTCTCTTGTGACCCTCTTTTATCTTTTACATTTAGTCTTCCAGTCCATGAGATGAGCTCCCTTACACATTGCATTTCCAAGATTCAATAAGGCCATTCACCTATTCTTGTGTTGCAATGTTCCTTAATGGCCTGTTTAATCTTGATAAGCCTCTTGAATGGGCGGGGGAATGCCTGAGTTCACAAGCTCAAAGCAAACATTTTCAAAGTTATAAAGCAAAGTTTATATATTTCCTTCTGGCAGGGAAAACAGACATTACGAGTGAGATTACTGCAGGTAGTAACTTCCAAGCATTTTGTAGAGCTCTAAACACTAAATACATTATTGTAAGACTGATACTTATTTTGAACAATACTAACATACAGGTAAGCTGATTTGGTTTCCAGCTATGAGTTTGTCAGTTCTTAGCTAAAGGCTTCAGCTTTAGCCAGAATTGGCACTTGATTTGCCAGCGTCATATAAAGCATTATTTGTTCATACAGCTAATGAAAAAGTAGAAATTATTGTAAAACATCTTTTCACTAAAAAAAGATAAACAGTCTTGTGTTCTCCCACATATGTTACTTTGTTGTAATGGATCATTTCATTTAGTCCTGATTAGCCTTGGGACAGCAAATTTTAAAACAATAAGATGAAATATGCTGATTCTCTCTGTGCTGGCATAGTTGCTCAGTGTGTGTGCTGTTAGTCCTCCACTAACTCAACATGAGTCTAGCAAAGCAATAAATAAAGGTTCTCATCATCTTTGAAGTAGAAGACAGGAGAAGGTACATGTGAGTCATCTAGGATGAGCCTGTAACTATTGATGAATTCACTTATCACTTATTTGCTATGTATAGGAAGCTTTTTTTAGTATTTTCTCTTTGAATAGATGCTGCTTGTAAGTACCAAAATGTTGGCATGTTAATAGGTGTATTCCTGACACACACACCCCAGACACGCTTTCCATCAACACAAGTGAGAACTACTCAGGTGCATTGAGAAGAAAATAAATTCACAGGTGTGTGTGTGTGCTGAAGACACCAGAAGAAATGTAAATATGTTACATCTTCAAAATCTATCAAACTATCTATGTATATACTTCTTTGATGACAGAATGATGGATGATGCAGTGAGACTGCCTTAATATCATCAGGACTGACCTTGGAGAGATGAGTTTAGACTTGACTGAGCCGATTCACAGAAAAATATAAAAGGCAGAAATAACTAAACCATTAGCATTTATGTATGCAATGTAAAGGCATTAGATCACTGGAAATGATTTTTTTTAATTGTCAAAGTAGAAAAATACCCAGCTGCTTATTTTGGTAGTAAAATAGATGGCTGCAGAAAATGAAAATATGCATTTGGGGACTAGACGATAATTTCTACTAAATCTTAGGGCTGGTCTACACTACCAGTGTCTACACTACAGGCTTCCTCCCACCGATGTAAGTGCCCTACTACACTGACATAATAACTTCATCTCCACAAGAGGTATAAGGTTTATGTTGGTGTAGTTAGGGTGATGCAGTGTCTGTGTAGACACTTCATCTGGTACATTGGCTGTCTTGTCAGTTTCACAACAGGAGCTGGGAAATTGACAAGAAAGGCTGGTAGCTGCCTTCCACTTCTGTGGAGAGCTGGGGTGAGAAGCCGGGGGGGCACACCCGCTCCCAGCAAGTAGCCTGGCAGGGAGCTGGTTAGGGGCGGGCCAAGAAACCAAGGCAGCTGAACCCTGCTCTCCTGGGGCGAGAAGCCCTGGGTGGCTTCTCCTGGCAAGGAATGGGAGGGCAAGAAGCCCTGGGTGGCTTCCGCTGGCAGGGAATGTGGAGTCGGGCAGGGGAGGAGTCCAGCTGGCTAGGATCCTGTGGGGCAGCCAGGCTCTTGGCAGGGAGCTGAGAGACCAGGCTCTAGGCTCCCCACACTGCCCCTCTTAGGTCAGTGGAAGCGCTCCTGGTGAGGACGCTCAACACCGATCCAAGGATTATAGTGTGGACGTGCATCACCATAGTAATTACTGCAGTGGGTGTGAGTTCACCCAATATAGCTTGACTTAGTTGCTTGGTTTAGTTTTTTACCATCCCTACCATATAGGTCAGAATGTTCAAACTTCAGGCATCTAAATAAAAGTGGTTTGATCTTCGGAGTTTCTGGAGCAGGTGCAGTTTCCATTGTGAGTGCTCTGCATTTTAGAAATCAGGCCACTTTTATTTAGGTGCCTTATTTTAGGTATCACATCTGAAAAATTGTGGCATGAGCCCTTAAATCTTGTAACTGAACATTCTGTATTGACTTCTGAAAAGAGAGCTTAATGGCATTCTTTTTGATGTGGTTATAAAATTACCAGTTATGTTATCTGCTGAACACTACCTCTTGATAGACCATCTGCAGGATGTCTGGCATTGGATGCAGTGAAAAAGAGGCTTCTATTCTCCCTGTTTGTGTGCATGCATGGTGGCTTGATGGTGACTGGGGACAAGAAGTTCCAAAACAAGAGACTTAATACAAACAAGACTTCTTAACATTGCATATTAAACTCTTTCGCTTGTGTGAGACTATATTGCCTCTTTCCCTGTTTTTAAAAAAGCCTAACTTTTTATTTTTTTCCGAGATATTTAAGAAAAGTAGATTTTTTTTTTTTTTTTAAATTTGTTCTTTACCATTCCCCTCATGCCTTGTTTTGGCCAGAATTAGTCCTTAAAATTTATATTACTAAAATAAATTTCAGGCATACTAGCAAAAATAAAAAACCTAAAAACAAAGTAAATTGACACTAATAAATTACACCCAGCTTTTTAAAACAGCAGTGACTTACCTCAGTGACAGAGATTAGTCCTATGTATGCTGTACCTCTAATTATAGAAGATAGAGGAAGCAGCATTTTTTTGCATTCACAAGACTAAGAATTGTTCTGCTTTGATGATACTCCATGGGGGATTCTGTGTCAAAAAAATAAAAATTTTGCACCAAAAAGTTAGAATTCTGCAATATTCTACATATTTTGTCAAAATAATGCAATATAATCGCATCAGTTTCAGTTGTTTTGGTCATTTATTTAATTAATTACAGAAAAAAGTTAAAATAACTATTCCGCATTTCCTAAACACATGAAACTTAAGTTACAGATACTTGGTAACTAATACCCTGCATTCCAGTTATAATCCTGGATTTTCATTTAAATTAAATTATATTACAGAACGCCAAACAGTGCCAAAAAAACCCAAACTGGAATGTCATTTTAAATTGCTCAGACTTTTACACATGAAAGTTATAGTTTTGCTAATCATTGTCCTGGACCTGGCTGGGTACTTCGGGAAGTGTTTGCTTCTGATTGTCCTGGCCTTTTATTGACTGCTTGGTAAATATTTTATTTGCCCTCAAAGTCTCTTTTTTAATGGGTAAGTAAAATAAATCTTGAGCTGTAATCTAACCCCATTGTGCCATTTTGGCACAGGAAAAAAGTGCGAAAGCACATAGATCTTCCTAGCTGATTCCCCTACTGTCATTTATAAGGCTTTACATCACACTGGCAATGTAGGGGCCTTAAAACTTTTACAGGTTTTATGCTCCTTGGAGAATTGATTGAGAATGGGAACAGTTAACTAAAAACAGGAACATTAACAATGTTACTACACATGTCTGCCTTGGGGAAGGACCCTTCCTCCTGCATAATTAAAAAGACCTACAACCTCCACACCCCCAGACGCAGTAGCAAGGGAGAGGGACTAAGGGCTAGTCTATGCTGGCGACGCTAAAGCACTACCGTGGCCTGCTATCACAGCAGCACTTTAACGTGGCTTGTGTAGTCACGGCAGAGCACTGGGAGAGTTTAGATGCCAGCTCTGTTTTTTCGCACCCCTGAGCAAGAAAGTTGCAGCGCTGTAAATTGCCAGTGTAGACAAGCCAAGAGTGTCTCTCGCTTGTTGGCAGGCACACACGTCCAGCTCCCCTCCCCTTGCAGTGATTTGTATCACTTAGGCTGCTGCAGGCTCACTGGAATAGATGTGCTGCCTGGGAAGAGGCATGTCTCCTCCCCTCCCCCCAGATTTCTTTTGCATTTTTCTGCATGGAGGGCACAGAAATATGTGGGCGATACGAATTCTGTCAGGAGTCTAATAAGATATTATCCTGATAATGAGTACAGCCTAATGCCACAAGCTCACTTAGACATCATGTAAAATCTGGAGTCCGTACTAACAGATTCCAGTCTAAATTTGGGTCTTAAAATATTATCAGAATACAGTGCAAACTATGATGATAATCTCTGCCTAAATAGACCAGCTAAATATTTTCAATTTTCAGTTGTAGACTGTCATGAATTTGAGAACTTAAATTAGACAGATGTTTCATAATACCAGTGAAATTTGGTTGTCTTGTAGCTTCCATAAAAAGAATAGCTGTAGTAAGGCAGTTCCTAATTTGACATCAAGAATAAATCTGTTAAAGAATTTTCTTATTTTACCCTGTGCTCTCACATACCAAATCTTCTGCCCTTGGGACTGCATGCATTTGTAACAGTTACATAGGCAGTCTCCAGAAAGTGCTAAAGTTGATCTATCCACGCTATTAGTTACAGCCAGCAGCAGTTTAGCAGTGGCTTTAATGATCAGTCAAGCTGATATTAGGCTGGCTGTTCTTCATATATTCATACAGTTTATCTTGCATATTATAAGAAATGGTGCTCGTTTGTGTTGGCTGAACTAGCTAACATTGATCCTGTAAAGATATTCATTTTGGGGGAAATTAAAGCATTCTGCTTGTTTAGATGTTCTTTGTAAAGTGAAGTGCCCCTTTTTTCAGAAAGATTATTTGAACCAAAACAGCCTGCATACCTCAAGCTACAAGTAATGAATTGCTCTTCCCCACCTGCAAGGGAATGAGTATCTCATTGATGTCAGGATTTTATTTTCTAACATGACTCCTGTAAAGAGAAACAAAACAGCATACTCTGCAAATTAGATCTTGGTTCTAAGAGCTATTTTCTTGTTAGTACAATTGGATCACGAATAGTTTCTAGATGAAATCTCTTTCTGCTGTGAGTAGGTCCTATTAAAACATGTCCTGAAAGGGCTCCTATTAAAACCCCATTCTACATTTCTTCATTGATTCAGTTGTGTGGTGAAGGAATTCTGAACTAGTGTCAATATTATATTCCCAGATAAAAATTAAACTAGAATTAAGGCTGAGTACAAATCATTAGTTTAAGAGGAAAAAACATTATAGCCATGTTGGAATTACACCAATCCCAGGAAATTCAGAGTTGAGGTTAAATTTAAAAGAAATCTAAACACATTAAGGTATTGAAATGCACAGTTAAGGCACCCAAACAACCTTAACTGTGTCCCATAGCAACACTATTCAATAACCATACAATTATGATTAGAGCTTAATGGTATTTGTATTTACAAATAATAGCAGGAATATATAGGAGAGGTGCAACATGGCTTTAAGAAAGGAAAGGAGTACTATAGACACAATAAAATATTTGCAACGAGACAGACATTTGGAAGAATGATAAATGGAGGGCATAATTGCTGTTCAGTATTAATGATCTTGAGAAAGCGTATGAGTTGGTTCTGCAGAAGTTGGTATTTGGAATATTGAAGGGAAAGGGACGTAAGGAAGTGGAGATGTTAGAGGAGCTGTCTTGATGGTCAAGAGCTCAGGTGGTAACAATATATGGAATTTCGGAGAGTTTTAAGGTGATGGGATTGAGACAATGAGTCCACTTCTCTTCATCTTAGTTAAGGAGTTAATTAGTAGGAGAACCAAGCCGGTGGGGAGACAGAAAACTAATACATGCTGACGATCTGGCCCTTTTGTCTGACAGCAAAGAGAAATTGGTAAACAGGGTATCGGAGTGGGAGTCTGTGTTTTGAAGTTGTTAACAAAAACTGAAGTTGTGAATGTAGGGAAGGTAGAAGAAGAGCTCATTATTAAAGTTTCAGGAGAGAAGATGAATCATAAGAAAGAATTTATGTATTTGGAAGTATTTAGTGCCATTGGAAAGAGATCTAGAGAATTGAAAAGAAGAACCCATTATGCATGGGTGGCAGTGAAAAAGGTGCCAGGAATACTCTGGGTAGAGCCCTCCATGGATACAAAATGTATGTCCATGGATATAAAGCAGATGTCCGCTGAGTAACAGGGCTCTAGCGACAACGAGCAAGACAAGCAGGGCCATAGCCAGTGACTGGGCCAGGAACCACAGCAGCAAAAGCAGCAGCATGTCAGGCTGCCACTCGCACAAGCCAGCACCCAGCCTGGGCAGCTCTTCTGGCATGGCTGTACTGCCCCAATCCTGCCCACGGTGGCGGGCACCAGGCTCACCAGTAGCTGTCCCTGGTCACACTAGTGGGTATAAATGGCTCTCACGCTCCCAGTCAGGAGATGCACACCTCTGCGTGGAAGGGATGCTATGACCAGGGACAGCTGCTGGACAGCTATTACCATGGCCCGGCTATGGCTCTTTGGCCCCTAAAGCACTGGCCCACGGCTAGGTTGGGAGCCGGAGCCGGTCGGGGTAAGTACCATGCAGGCAGCTGTAGGGAGCTGTGTACCCTCTACCTGTCCTGCGTGGGAGGCCAAGGGGGCAGAGACACAGGACAAGGGCAGCTCTTGGGGGGGCCCACCCCGGCCAGCTGGAGTGGCCCGGGCTCCCCAGGCTGGCTCTAGCTTCCAACTTGGCCATGGGGCGGGACCTCGTGGGGAGAGATGGGGCCATAGAGGGGGCGGTTCCTCCCGCTTCCTCTGCCCCACCACTTTTAGGAAGAATCAGTTTCCCCAGTCTAGTCTCCTGTGGGTCTCATTTAGTTTGGTCTCATTTCTGTTGTTGGGTTTAGTGTATGACTAGTGGTGTTAGCCTGTGATTTGCAGCAGGTCGGACTAGATGCTCTAGTGCAGTGGTTCTCAAACTTTTTTTTTTCCCCGCAGACCACTTGAAAATTGCTGAGGGTCTTGGAGGACCACTTAATGATCTTTCCAAATGATCTTTCCAAATGTTGTTTGTACTGTTAGCTAACTATTGTAAAGCGCTTTTGATAACCATCCCCTGGAGCTGGGGAAAGTCCCCTCTTTCTCTGGCTGCCACAGCCCTGCACATCCCAGATTCCCCCCCACCCTCTTTTCTCACCCCAAGGCCACCACCTCACCTTACATGTGCGTCTTCTCCAGGGTCCAGGCTCCTAATTCCTGGAGCCCTCCCTGCACAGCTCCATGAATTAGGTGGATGGTCCTTCATTGTCTCGTGTGCGGCTGCCCAGGCATGCACCTTAGAGGGAACTATCCACGGACCACCTGAATGGAGAACCTCTGCTCTAGTGGTCTGTTCTGGCCTTGAATTCTGTGATTCTGACTCAGATTGACAGATTACTTAAATATTAGATCATTCAGTAATTGAAGAGTAAGTGCTACAGTTATGGGGGGGATATACTTATTTTTTTCATATTTAACACCATTATTTGAAAGTTTTTTTTTCTAAGTATGAATTCAGTTTAGCCCTAACTGTAGAACTGCGACTAGGGCTTCCATAATTCATGTAGGGCTTCATTCTTCAAGATCACAGGACATAGTGTTCATACTCACTTAAATTTGATATTCTGTCCAGGGACTGTTGTATTGGGGCCCTTGTTTGTAAATAGCTGTTTGATGGTCAGTAGTTGTAATATGTTTTTGTTTCTCTCCTATGCAGTGCCTTTGGTGTAATACAAAAAACACTTGTATGGACTATCCTGTGAGAAGTATTCTTCCATCATCTTCACTGTGTCCACTCTACGATGCTCGATGGGGTGTTTGCTGGAGTAGGTACTAATAGTAATTTTAATAAACAGATGTAATTACTTGTAATTCAAGCTATAGTAAGATAATATTGATTTTTGTTCCAAAATTAAGTTGACTACCATGTATTTATGATTTAGAATATGTTTCACCCAAGGAGCATCTTTGGTGGGATTCACTAATGTACACTGCCTGAGATCCTTAGGAACAGCCTTTTGAGGTACAGAGTCGCGGTGCTCTGCCTTAGTAAGCACATCAGCACCTTGACACTTAGAGGGGTTGTTCTTCCAACTCTACAGGAGATAGGATGATGTATGTGCCCTTCTTCACCTTGAGTGAAGGGAGTCAGCATGATAGAAGTATGTTGCCGCTCTCATGGCTGCCTCCTCAGCATGCACAGACAGCTATGATGGCAGCAGAGAACTGGAACTATACCAGTACTTCCACTAGAATGAATGCAAATGGAAAGTTCAAGAGCGTATGAGAGTGGTACAGGCTAAGGATGGAGGTGTGTTGGCTGTGGGTGCTGAAGAGATGCAATTGAGGCTTTTAAGAAAAGTGGGGGGGGGGGAGAGAGGGGCTGATAAGTAGCATGGCTTCACTGCTCATTTCCTTTTTACAGTTTGTGTTGACAAATTATGCAGCCTAGCAACTTTAATTCACAAATTAGTTTTGCGTATGAATAATGTAAGGATTGGTTTCAGAGTAGCAGCCGTGTTAGTCTGTAACACAAGTCCGCAAAAAGAAAAGGAGTACTTGTGGCACCTTGTTAGTCGCTAAGGTGCCACAAGTACTTCTTTTCTTAATGTAAGGATTGTGACTCCTATGGTCTGTGTAACCCACATGGCTTGTCATTGTGAGAAGCTTTATTGGTGCTATACAAAATAGAAAGGAAGTGATGATCCCTGCCGTGAATTCAGAGCCAAAATGGACCAACAAGAATCTCACTTGTGTGCACTAGGAGACATCAGGGTGGCTTGATTTTAGGTCACATTTTAATCATGATTTAAATCAGGAAGCAGGAAACCTTGATTTAAGACGTAGTTTAGTCATGTTTTGCATTTGTACTTTCTAAGTTATTTTCCTAAGGAATAGCTGATTCTCATTGATTGGTAGCCATTAAAACATGTTGCTTCGCAGGTAAATATAGCCTGCACACCAGAGTTGGTGCTTTTTTTTCCTCTGAGGATACACTATACACACATTTATTTAAGCTGTTCTATATCTTAATTTACATTTATTCAGATTCTTAATTTTTCAATTTTATATTTTGTTAGAAAATGGTGAACGATGATGTGTTCGTTATTTACTAGATAACTAATTTTTTACTTGCAATTTGTGCCAAGTTCTGTTGGGATGGAAATTCAAATTTAATTAATGCACAAAAACAACATTTTAAAATTTTTGTATTAAAAATAATACCTTAAATGTGATGGATACATAAAAAAAGTTTTTTATCAATATATGTTTTCCCTTTTAAAACGAATTGATTTACGAAAGAAATGAGGTATTATCTGTAATTAGTTAACTGGTTATTTTTTTGGTTACCATGTCCTTCAAGATTTTAGAACTAGTAGATCGTATCCTCTCACACTTATATTTTAGTCAACTGGAAGAGGAGAACAAGTTTTCCTGCTTTTTTCAACATTCAGTTAGTTTCTTAACTTCGAATTAACTAGTTGTTCAACTTAACTAGTTGAATAAACTGAAATGAAGAAAATATTCTCTCTGCAGAAGAAGCTATTGCTGTTGAAAGCTGGTTTAGCAGTTCAACCAATTGTGGTTCCATGTGCTTAGCTTAGCCAGTGACTTCCATTTCAGTCGTTTGATTTTCTTTAAAAATTGGAGCAAGCATACTGCTTAATATTATTTTTTGTATTTAATTTAAATTATTTTAATATATTGTAATTTTAGGCCTTAACATAGGTTGTCAATTTCAATTTTAATTTTAACAAGGTATATTTTTTAAAAAAGATATAGATTTAATTTAAATTTAAAAAATCCAATTTTTTATTAAAATAAGTTTTATCTGCCATTGGAGACATGAAGGAAGCCTTAGTCTTACAGCAGTAGTGATAGAGATTTTAAAGAGAGATTTACAATTCATAAATATTGTTCCTTGAACTGTTTGATTTACTCTCTTTTAAAAGAGAAACTCAAACTATGTATTCCTGAAAACTACTGTTCACTGTTCAACTTCTGATGCCACATGGTGTGCTGAGCAGACAAATTCTTTCCTACATATCATTAGTATGGGAAGTACTTGCAATTATTTTAGGCAGGTTTTCATTTTGTAGATTGACTGACTGTAGCTTAACCATAAGATGAAAACTTCATAGTAGCACACCTTCTGCACAATAAGTGAACAGTTGCCAAAAGACTTCCCCTGCTTCCACCCCCTCGAGTTATTACAAGTTCTACACTGCAGCATGTCATATGAATATATGGTCTCATGGAGTTTGTCCCAGACATAGCAGGGAACTAATACCACATTGAGGATGGTGCTATTGTTTGTCTTTTTTGCAAATGAAATGAAGCAAAGCCACTTATTTTTGACTCAGTGTTGCTGAAAATGAACAGTGCAGCTTGTGAAATGCATTTTCATGTTCAGCTGTGTATTGGTGGAAAAATGGAAAGCTGGAGAACATATAGGTCCCAGATACCAGTGATATCTGGAACGTGACATGCTGACAAATGGTTGGTCAAAGCTAAAGGAGGAAGATGAGTGTAAAAGCAACATCAGTTGAATTTATTGTATTTTTATGGATAAATAAGCAAATAAAGTAGCTGGTGGATGCAGGAACACAGAATGACATTGATATTTGTTCCATTTTGTTAAATTGTATAGTCAATTGCTTGACCACACTTTTGGTTTTTATCCCTGTATAGACATAACCTAAGAGAGCAGACACAATTGGGCAAATCTACCATTAAGAACTCTTGGAATGTGGCCGGTCTCCCTCATGCCACTGATTTACTTACAACCCCAGTAAAGTTGTTTCATGAAGATTAGTTATAGGGTAAAGATGATGGTTGCTTGAGTCAGTGTTTGTTTGAAGTTACAGTGGCCCCTCTTAAATTACCTGAGATGTTAAACTGACCCTATTTATAGCCTATCTAGTCATAACAGTTGGATACAATTGTTAATAAGCTTAATTACAGTCTAATTTGTTAAATAATCTATTCATAAGATTTTTATGAATTTTAACTATAGAGAAGAATTAAGAGCCTGTATTGTTTCTATATTCAGATCATCCGGACAAGACAAATTCTGACACAGATGCTAAATTGTTTGGAGTCCATTTTAAAAATTAATTTAAACTGGAACTTATTTGTTAGTTCTCAGAAAACTCATTCTGTACTCAGTGAGTATTTGCTGTAAGTTTGGGGAGGATATGTATTTTCATAAAAAATGGAGGTTGACTCCCTGCTCTCAGTGCAAAATGGGGGTCATGCTTAACTGTTGAGATGGACCGATGTCTCCATAAATATTGAAGTATGCCAGTCAGAAGCATTGTTAAGGTTGCATCTTGATTTCTACTTTGATGGGCCTTTTCTCTACAACTCAGTAAAAACATCAACTTTAGATTAAAAAAAAAAACCAACAAGAACACAAAGTGTTAGTGAATTATTGAAAAGAATCAGTTGAAAATTAGTCATAGTGAGGGGAGATATGTCATCAGAGAGGATATTGCGGGCTTTGGGGTGGGGGCAGGGCAACAGAGAAGGGCAGCAAGAATGATCAAGGCCATGGAAAAAGAATGGGGTTGTAAGATAAATAAGAGGGAATATGGAAAAAAAAATCTAAAATAATGAATGGCATAAAGTAGGTAGATTAGGAACTTTACTTCTCCTGTCCATAATTCAAAAAGGGGATATTTAATGAAATTGAAGAATGAGAAATTCAAAACCAACAGAAGGAAATAATTTACACACAACCTGTAATTAGACTATGGAACTCATTGCCACAGAAAGTCACCTGAGGCTAAGAATTTAGCAAATTCAGAAAGGATTGAATGTTTATATGTTTATATCCAGAGTTGTAATTAATTAATTATAACATTTTTTTGAAGGGATACTGAATCTCATGCTTTAGGCAAGCAAAACTCTAATTGTTAGAGACCAGAATAAGATCTAATGGGGGTCATATTACCCCACATCTACCACTGCAGAAGTCTTAAACCTTCCTCTGAAGCATCTGGTGCTGGCCACTGTTGGTGCTGGATTAGACACGGTCTGTAGCAGGAGTCTTTCCTTTTTAAGATCCCTTTCACAGATGCCACACAACACAGATTAAATCTTGCGGTGAAGTGTCATACTAAGGAATACATTTGAGAATGCAATGTCTTGAAAAAATTTTCATGGTTCTACTTAATTACGTTAGGGAGCTCTGTCATTTAATGCATAACCACAAATCCACAGTTGTAAACTTCTGGCTTTTGATGTGAAGGAAGAGAGTGAACACATCTGTGAGCTGCATTGGAGATCTGTTGCAGCAAGCGGTTGTGGTGAGGAAAGGGGATAAAATAAGGGATGGGATCTGGGAGAGTTGAGAACGCTTTTTAAAAAAACCCTTACTTCTCTAACACCCGTTCTCCCTTTCATCTCTAAACTCATTGAATGCACAGTCCACAGCTACGGTCTAGAGTTCCTCTCCTCCAATTCCATTCCTAATCCTCTCCAGTCCATTTTTTGTCTCTTGCATTCCACTGGAGCAGCTTTCATCAAAGCTTCTAATGACCTCTTCCGTGGCCAGAACTCACAACAGATGCTTGGGGCCAGGATTTAACCACGCAAGTTGTTGACTCTAATGGTTCTAAACTTAAAAAAAATAAAAATCTATGCTCTGAAAATGTCTGGGAGATCTGTATAGTGGTTATAAATTACCCAATTATGCAAAAAACACCCTGTAGCTCTGTAACTGAGAAATCATAGTGTATGTAGAAAAACTGGGAGGGAACTTTCATTGCCATGTCAAAATCTGAGATGAGGATGTGTTTTTATGTACAAGAGTAGAATGGACAGTTTAAAAGGAGAGGACTAACAAAGGGATTAAAAAGCAACCTGATCTCAATCTGGTGAATAATGATTTTTCAGTGAGTAACAGTGGCAGAGTTCTTATGTGAAACTGTATAACGTGTCGTTTTAGCAGCTATTTTACTAAAACTCCTATAGGAGTACTGCATAAAAAAACCAAAGATGAAACTCGGAAAGACCAAATGTTCATCAGAGGAAGCAGGGAGAAGACAAATTCAAATGACCACTGCTCAAGTCTTACAAGTTGTTTAATTTTATATATACACACACACATATATATTTTTTTTTTTTACAGTGAACTTTGAGGCCTTCATCATTGCCATAGCTGTAATAGCAGGACTCATCCTGCTGTCAATTGGTGTCTGTTGCTGTTACTGCTGCTACTGCAGAAGGCGTTCTAGGGGGTAAATATATTTTTCTTTTATTAGCTTTGTTGGTCCTACAATGCATAATCTCCAATAGCTCTCCTAGAAATTTAATTTGGAAGTAAAAAAAATTTGGTATTTTTTTTGGTTAAAAGAGAGGTAAACATATTTATTCACCCCACTTTGGTATTCTTTAATCACATCTTCCTGGTAAGAAAGTAAAATGAATAAAGATTGTATGCGCACTTATTCTTATATATATATATATATAAAAAAAAAAATCTCAGAGTATGTATGGTGTGTGTAAAACTTAGCAATCATCTTAACAGGATTTTTTTCCAAAGATCGATGTAAAATTTAAATTTTTAAAAAAAGCTTTAATATTTAATTGTACAAAATGTCATGTAACTATTAGAGTAGGTAGTTGAATCAAAGCACATTAGATAGCAAATTAAATTACACTTTGAGTTCATATTCATTCTGCATTGAAACAGATTTATGGTATAGCAGCTACAGTATCCACTGAGGACAGGCTGCGGTTATAAGATCCATTAGTTTTCTTCATTTCACTTGTTTTAAATGATTGTCTAACTGTCTGAGCCGGCACCAGCTTTCCAAGCAGGTGCCTGGGGCGGCATTGAGAATGGGGCGGCAGTCCGTGTCCCACGGCGGCAATTCAGCGGCAGCCCTGCTGCTCTTCCAGGCCCGGCAGCAATTCGGCGGCAGCTCCGCCGCTGTTGTGGCCGCAATTCGGCGACTGCTTGGGGCGGCAACATTTTTTAAAAAATAAACAAATACCACATCCTGAGTCTGCTCCCTGCCAGGGTAGATAAAAATCAATGATTTTTAAAAAAATAAAAATGAAATCTGATTTTATTTAAATAAGTTGTTTTTTTTAAATCTGTTTAAAATGAAATCTGAATTTAAGACAGGCATCTTAAGACCTAAACTTACTATAATTTAGTTGTAAATATGAAACATGTTTTGATAAGAGACGTTTATATATCCAAAACATTTAAGGCTGTTTTGTTTTAATAAAATTTAAATGCTGTTTTGTGTTTAATTAAAATTCAGTTACTATTCTAATGCAGCTTGACACAGATCATGAGCAAAAAGTTATCTAGTAAATAAGCAATATATCACTCATCATTTTCTAACGTACTAAAATGTACAGATAATAAGAATCTTTTAAGGCTAGTTCGTGCCTGAACAAAAGTGGGCTAAGACGAGGAATAAAATTAGTATCTATCCTGTATAAACCAAGCAACATTTCAATATAGTTTAGTGTCCAGGCACCTGAGTCTGCTTCAGGGTATTTCAGCTAGCAGTCAGTAGACTGTCTCAGGAATCGGTTGTCAGAGATCCTGTTTTCCTTTAATTTACACAAATGTCATGATCATAGTAGAGATAAAGAGATACCTTTTTGCTCAGAGGCTTTGAGGATGCCTAAGTTAGTTTCAAAAAAGTTTCAAGCTTTACAAAATTCAAATATTCCTAAGATCTTAGAGGGTTTCTGAAATTCACTTGTTGCCACAGGTTTAATTCTTTAATTGTTTAACATACTTCAAAGGGATCCAATAAGCAAGCAGTGTCTTGTTTGATTTGTATATGGGATGACAGCAATAGTTGGGGTTTTTTTGTTTGGTTTTTTTTTTGTTTTTTTTTAAATGGTGCATAATCCTAATTGAGACACCTTCTGGAAAATAATGTTCATTGGGGCAGCACAAGTGTCCTCTTGTGGCACTGCATATTTGGAGCAAGCTTATAAGGGCAGTGCAGTCTCAACTAGCTGTTGTCCTTTCTTTCCTCAGTTGCCATAGGGATAAGGACTTTCTCTCCATATCTGGAGGAATTTCTAAGGTTCTGTACACCAAATAATCTATCCTCTTGTTTGTTGTTTTTTGTTAGGTGCTTTAGAATTTTTTTTAGATATTACTCGATTTGTGCCATTGCACTGTTTTCTCATTTTTGGTCCCTGTGCCAATGAAATAGAACTGATCTGTAGCTACCAAGAAGGAAGATTTAAAAAAACATGGGTTTAAATTGTGTGTCATTCCCATCTGTGTTCCCAGAGAAGGCTATGTGTACCCGTTTGTTCTGTTTGGTGGAAATGGATTTTCCCAAACTGCTGCACTGTGCAAGTCTTCAACGCTTCAGGCCCATGCTGATGGGCAATCGAGGCTCTGAGCCTTTCTCACAGAGTAAGCTTTCTTGGCCGGTCTCATCCACTACCTCCACCTAAGGAGTGGAGTAGACCTCTTGATTTCAGTGCCAAGCGCATCAAGGATGGCTCCTGTGAAAAAGAAATCTCTGCCAGATAGGTTGTGATATCACACTACTGTCCCAGAGCAATGAGAACCATCTAGCGAATCCACTAATATGACTGAAGCCCATCTAACAGAGGGAGAAGAAAAGGAGAATGATTGCATCTATCTCCAGTATCCCCTCCCTATGGACACACTCCTCTGCCCCTTCTGCTATCTAGTCTGAGGATTCCAGTGCATTGGCGGTTCAGCAGACACCTCAAGAGAATCCATAGCAACCGGATTGCGTTTCGATGTGCCCTCTGCAACCTGCCTTTCAAGAGGCAGAAGAAATGTAAGTCTCATCAAGGCACCTGCAAACTGGAAGAGTCTAACTCTATCAGTCTGTGTTGCCACCACCCCATCTCGGCTCCGAAAGCAGAAACACCACGTGCTCCAGCTCCGGCTTCCGACTCCCCAAACACTCTGGCTACTGCATCCCAACCTCGTCCTCTAGAGCCACAGCATGAAAAGGTGGTCCAACCATCTACTGAGGGAAGGACTATCCCTGCCCCTGGGACCAGCCAACTGGATATTACTGCCTCGAAAATCCCTAAGCTGGACCCTGCCAAGAGGAGGATCGGCATTACCTCGCAGCTTATGCAAAGCAACTCCATCTCCAGACGGCTTAGTGCTTCCTTGCAGTATGTCCAGCACAACGCCGTTGGCAGAAGGGTCAGCGCCCCCCGCAGGTAACTTCACAGGACCCTGTCGTCAGAAGAGCTAGCACTACCTCACAGGCCACTCAGCGAGACCCAGCCAGTGGAGGATTATCTCCACTGCTCGGACCATGCAACAGGACCCCAACCCTAGACGGACCACAACAGCCTCCAAGACCACCCAATGGGACCTTGACCCCAGAAGGTCTCTCACTGCATCAAAGACCCCCCCAGACAGAACTTATCCACAGAAAGACTAGCATTGCTCCAGAAACTCCAAAGCAAGATTGCATCCCTAAAAGGGCCAATACCGCTGCCTCTAAAACTGTTCTTCCTAAAAGGACCAGTGCTGCCCTAAAATCCATAAGGGAAGATGCTGCCCTCATTCCGGAAGATCCGGCCGAATGGAGTTCTCAACGCCAGGAGGGGAAAAAGACAACAGACTAATCCCACAGCAGTTTTCCAGCCTGAGCCTGCGGAGATTGAGCAGCCAGAAGAGCAGCGGCCCACGGTGAGGGCTGCCACACCATGGCAAGCCGCTTGGATGGAGGAGTTGGCAAGGACAGCCTTCTTTGAGGACTTTGACCTCCTTGTAGACAGACTCACTAAAGATCTGTCTGCAGAAATCATATCTGGGAGGAAAGGAACTCAGGAGAACTCACAGACTGCGCACAGAGCTTCTGCATCCAGACGCCACAGCAACAACATGAGGGAAGCCAGGAGAAGGAACATCAGTTGCTGCTATGACTCAGCAGCAGCATCCAGAATCCAAAAGCTCTACTGGTCGATCAGCCCTAAGGCTATAAGAGAAATCCTCGACGGGCCTTCATCCTACTGCGCAATCCTGTCCCAAAGTGTCCCAAACCTTCAAGGGTGTGTTTTACCATGTAGCTCAGAACGACGCGCAGCATCCAGAGTGCCTTCATCGTCTACCCCGGGTTGACTATGCAGAGGACCTGGAACAAGACTTTACATCACAGGAAGTAGAGACCAGACTTACAAAGACCAAAAGCACAGTCCTAGGAAAAGATGGCATTCGTTACAACTTCCTGAAAAAACTAGACCCCTGGTACTAGCTGCCATTTTCAACAAATGCAAACAGTTCCACTGTACTCCCAGGTCCTGGAAGAAATCTATGACTCTGCTCGCCTACAAGAAAGGTGAGTGAGACGACCCCAATAACTGGAGACCCATCTCTCTCTGTTCCACCGTGTACAAACTGTATGCCAGCTGCTTCTCGGCTAGGATCACAGACTGGTCAGTGAACGGAAGAGCCATCCACTCCATCCAGAAAGGCTTCATGTCATGTGAAGGCTGCTACGCACACAACTTTGTCCTTCAGACTGCCATCCACATGGCCAGGAGGGCACGGAGGCAGTGTGCCATAGCATGGCTCTGCTTGGCAAGTGCTTTTGGATTGATGCCCCATCAGCACATTTTTGACATGCTGTGAGAGTTTGGGATACCTGAAAACTTTCTCCAACTAATCCAGGAACTGTCTGAAGCCTGCACCGCCACCATCCGCTCCATGGAAGGAGAGATGCCTGAAATTCCTATCCGGAGCCAGGCTGCCCTTTGAGCCCCATAGTTTTCAACTTAGCCATGGGGCCACTCATTCGAGCGGTCTAGAAGTTTCGATTTATGTGACAACAGAGTGAATATCCTGGCCTACGCAGACTCTTTGGTCCTGGTCGCAGACAACCCTGAGACTCTCCAACAAATGCTTGACCCCACCAGCCAGGCTGACAACTGGATGGGACTCTGCTTCAGTACCAGGAATTGTGCATCCCTGCATATTGATGGCAGTAGAATGGATTTGGTCCAGGCGATGCCATTTCACGTCCAGGGCGAACCCATGATCTTCCTCAAGGACAGGCAAGCATACCAACATCTCTGCATGCTGATGGGTTTCCGCGTCCAGCAGATACCATCGCGGAGATCCTACAAGAGGTGGCCAGGACTGACTCCTCCCTACTGGCATCGTGGCAGAAGATCAATGCTCTGAACACCTTCCTAATCCCCCCGTATTTCTCATTCATCCTGAGGGGATCCGCTGTAGCGGAGGTACCTCTTAACAAAGCAGGCAACACCATCCAGCAGCTGGTGAAGAAGTGGATGCTTCTTCCCCAGAGGGCCAGCAATGAACTAGTATACATCTCACACAGGCAGGGTGGCGACGGCGTCCCTCAAATGGGTGATCTGTGCGACTTTGCCGTGATCACTCATGCCTTCCGCCTTCTGACGTGCTCAGATCATAGAATCATAGAATATAAGGGTTGGAAGGGACCCCAGAAGGTCATCTAGTCCAACCCCCTGCTCGAAGCAGGACCAATTCCCAGTTAAATCATCCCAGCCAGGGCTTTGTCAAGCCTGACCTTAAAAACCTCTAAGGAAGGAGATTCTACCACCTCCCTAGGTAACGCATTCCAGTGTTTCACCACCCTCTTAGTGAAAAAGTTTTTCCTAATATCCAATCTAAACCTCCCCCACTGCAGCTTGAGACCATTACTCCTCGTTCTGTCATCTGCTACCATTGAGAACAGTCTAGAGCCATCCTCTTTGGAACCCCCTTTCAGGTAGTTGAAAGCAGCTATCAAATCCCCCCTCATTCTTCTCTTCTGCAGGCTAAACAATCCCAGCTCCCTCAGCCTCTCCTCATAAGTCATGTGTTCCAGACCCCTAATCATTTTTGTTGCCCTTCGCTGGACTCTCTCCAATTTATCCACATCCTTCTTGAAGTGTGGGGCCCAAAACTGGACACAGTACTCCAGATGAGGCCTCACCAATGTCGAATAGAGGGGAACGCTCACGTCCCTCGATCTGCTCACTATGCCCCTACTTATACATCCCAAAATGCCATTGGCCTTCTTGGCAACAAGGGCACACTGCTGACTCATATCCAGCTTCTCGTCCACTGTCACCCCTAGGTCCTTTTCCGCAGAACTGCTGCCTAGCCATTCGGTCCCTAGTCTGTAGCTGTGCATTGGGTTCTTCCGTCCTAAGTGCAGGACCCTGCACTTATCCTTATTGAACCTCATCAGATTTCTTTTGGCCCAATCCTCCAATTTGATGCCACGGTGAGGAACATCGCGGAGTGTGCTCTGCAGGATGCCGTCAAGAAGTGAATCGCCATGACCACCTCCATTCAAGGTGTCGCCACCTACCTGAGCGGCTCGCTGAAAGGTGAATTTGGAAGATGGGGGAGACTGCTTCGCTCTGGACTCATGCCTGCAATGCTACGCGACAACTGGAGAAGCATATCGGCTGCCACTGGGCGTGGTGCAAGGATTGCCAGGAGATGGTAGTCCTAGTACCACAGGTGAAGAACACAGGGCACACCATCATCACTTCAAGAGCCAGAAGCAATCTGAAGAGGACCCCTGTTTTCGAAGGTCACTATTTTCTAAATGGACAACCTACCTAATTGTCACTCAGTAATTAAGAATCTCCACTCATCGATATATTTTTGCTTTTCACAATCAAATCTATGTACAACTTTTCATGAGTGATATACCTGAGTATTCAGATTCTAATATCTAAACTGTACTGTTAAATCTATTCACCTAAATTTCGGCTATTGCTGATTATGTACTCTATGTATCATATGACTTTTAAAAACAAACTTGGTATTTGTGGATAATCTAAGCACTATACCCAGATGTACAGATGCTCTTTTCTTAACCTATGTATTATATAATTTTTTTAACATTAGCTTTACTAAAATTTTTAAATCTAATGTCTTCAGCTGGCATATCGCCTCTAGCACTGAAGACTGTACATTGGTGCCAAGTTGTGAGTCTAGCAGTGCCAGGACTCCATTTGTGCTAAAATCATCTTCACTATTTGTGTCCTGTTTCTCATAAAGTTCCTGTCCTTGTGAGACTTCCTTGGTTCTGGGGGCTTCCCTGCTAAAGAATGCATCTCTTCGTAAACAGGCAGCTACCGTTACTCAGTTGCATGGAATCTCTTTGGTTCTGAAGAATCTTGGTCCTGATCCGGAATCCCCTCTGTAATTCGGGGGCCTCCATTGGCACCAAAGAAGCCTGCATTAGCGCATGAAGCTATCAGAACGGGACCAATTTCAAGTGGCACTTTGTTTTGAGGAGGCGTCCGTACCATTCTCAGCTGTGATCCAAAACGAGGGCAAGAAAAGCGTGTTGAGGAGGTTTCCATGGGTTTGTCTACACTACAGTTGGGAGCAAGCCTCCCAGCCCAGATAGACAGACTCTCGCTAACAGGCTAAAAATAACTGTGGGTGTTGTGGAATCAGTGGAGGCTTAGATTAGTAATCTGAGTTCAAGTTCACTCTACCTGCTGGGTCTAAGCTAGCCTGAGCCTCCACCAGTGCAGCATTGTCGCACAGCTATCTTTAGCTTGGTAATGCAGGCCCTGAGAGAGCAAGTCTGTCTGCCCAGCCTGGGAACCTTACTTCTGGCTGCCGCATAGACATCTCGTGTTTGGAGCTTGACTGCCCCAGAAGAGAGAGAAGCAACCACCATCACCTTCAGCCAACAAGCATTCAGGAATGTGAATCCCTGCACCGTTGGTGCCAATGGCTCCTCTGGCTCTGTTCATGCTACAGGTTCCAAGACTCCCAGGGCTTCTCCTAGTATATTTGCAGTTGGTTATCATTGTTAGCATCTTGCACCAGAAGTTTTGCTGCTTCCATGTTCTTCAGAGCTAAAGGTTCATGAAACTAATGGTATATGCCAATCTATTGCCCCTTTCTGAACTTGTCAGTCTGCTGAAATACTAAAGTATGATGGTTACTTTTAGTTTAGTTGACTTCTATGATGAGCTTAACTGAGAACTTCCCTGGAGTGGTTCGAAGCAGGAAAATACTTTTAAATTCCAATGCTGTCCAATAATAAATACTGTACATTCCAAGTCCTATAGAGCAGTGGTTCTCAAACTTTTGTACTGGTGACCTCTTTCACATAGCAAGCCTGAGTGCGACTCCCCCATTATAAATTAAAAACACTTTTTAATATATTTAACACAATTATAAATGCTGGAGGCGAAACAGGTTTTGGGGTGAAGGCTGGCAGCTCGTGACCCCCACCCACCAGATAATAACCTCGTGACCCCCTGAGGGGTCCTGACACGCAGTTTGAGAACCCCTGCTATAGAGGGATGTCATAGCTGTTAGGGGGTCTATATATTTTGGAACAGAAATGTGAGTTGGGACTATTATGTAGTCCCTCCTAGCCCCTCTGATAATCCAGTTTTACAAAAGGCTGTGCAAGAGTTAGAGGCTTCTGTTGTATCACATATTTCAGCCACAATGGATTCATTCTGAAGTTATACCGGACAGAGGATATTTAAACAGATGCTGTCACTTTGAAATCTGGTCAGGTTCACAAAAGGTCAATTTATTGACTTATCCCCAAGTTAATCTTCCGCAATTAAAAAAAATTACTTTTTTTTTCTCTCCCCTTTCTATGAGAGGCCCACACAAACAGAGGAAACAGAAATTGACTGCACAGAAAAGGATCCAGCTACATAGTGTGTCCCTCCCCTCCCCCCCCCCAAAAAAAAACAAAAACGGAGGCAGCAAGTCTGAGCCTTGGTCAACTGACTTGGGCTTGTGCTACATGGCTAAAAATAGCTGTGTAGGTGTTCAGGCTTCGAGCCCAAGCTGTAGTGCAAGACCCATGAGCCCAAGTCAATTGACCCATGCTCTGAGACTTGCTGCTGTGGGGGGGTTTTTGGCTATGTAAGATGTATCCAAAACATACACATTTAAAAACATTTCCACTGTAATCACTTTTAGTATTCTTGGATGGTACTTGTAACAATAGTAAGTTTTTAAAACAACTATATGGAAATGTGACTTGACAGTTGATTGTGTCCTTTAATGAACTGCTGAATTCAGACTGCCCCTTCTGATCTATGTATGATGTGCCATACATACAACATATGTATGTATGGCACATCTATGTTGTGACTTGCTGTGATTATCCTGTTTGCCACTGGATGTCACTGTTGCTCTGCTTAAGTGCTGATGTAAGTGCACATATATGGTACTAAGAAAAGGAGGACTTGTGGCACCTTAGAGACTAATAAATTTATTTGAGCATAAGCTTTCGTGAGCTACAGCTCACTTCATCGGATGCATTCGATCTAAGGTGCCACAAGTACTCCTTTTCTTTTTGCGAATACAGACTAACACGGCTGCTACTCTGAAACCTGTCATATGGTACTGTTAGTCTTCACATCTCAACCAACACATGTTGAGACTTATCAATATTTCTGATTAACACATCTCCAGATCATGCATTCAGTTTTGGGAGATGATAATTGGAGAAATGTGACAAAAGTATACAATTACTAATTCTTCGTGTTCAAAGGAGTTGGGATAAATTAAGTCCGGTGATGAATAACTAAAAGAAAAATAAAATATCCTTTGACAGGCATTGGCTTCAACTGTTTTGTAGTTCTTATATGGTATACGCAGGTTTAGCTGGTAAAGCGTGCAAGTACTGCAAAACTAAAAATACTTCTAGTGTAAAGGGAAAACGCTACCAATTTGTCAGTTGTGAATTAAACCATGTATTGGAGTCAAGTGCAGCTGTAAGGGCTGTAAATAAGGGCCGATTAAAACATTGTCTGCTAAATGACCAACAGGCTTTTTTTCAAGCACAAAAAATCTCTCGATTTCTCTCTCCTCTCTTCTCCCCCCCCCCCATCTTTCTAGTGTACCAGATGAACAGGAAGAAAGACTTGCCAGAGATCGAGAGGAGAGACGAATGCAATCTCTTCAGCGGTGAGTTTTGGAAATATAATGTATAACCATACACTTCTTGGTAGAATTTTTATTACACAAGTAGTAACCTTAGCTCCTAGGGAATACAGTATATATTAAACAAACAGTCCAAAACCCAGAGCCATCTAAGAAGGCGGGGCAATAAAGATAAAACATTAACAGGAAAATATAAGCACAGACATTGTAACGATATTTGATTCTGACTAAGACAGTGCAACTTCAAATACTGGATAGAGCCAGTGTACGTTCCTTTCCATTGATTTAACTGGTGTGCTCTTTACTTTGGGGATTGAAGGTTGTACTACTTAGGAAAAGACAGAGTTCAAACAAAACCACAGGAAAGCTCATACTTGTGATCTGGAAATTGCTTACCAGTTAAGCACTTTGCATTTAAGGCTAAGTTTTGCACAGTTAAAATCAAGATCAAGAAATGGAGTTTAACGTTCCTGCATATGTTAACTCTGCCATGTAGCACATGTGAATTTTGTTTTTCTGGTTAAATGAATAGTTTAATATAGTGGATGTTAAACATTACCTTAAAATATATGGCCGACTTAACTTTGAGGTAGCAACCTTAGCTGAATTTCTGGCTTTATTTTAACTGTGTAGACTTACACAACAAGTTTATCTTTTTGCATTCATGCCCTTCTTTTGGGGCTTGAGGGGACGACGTGTGTTTTTATAGGACTTTGAAGATCACGCTCCACTGAGGGGAATAGGGACAGGAAGGGGCAGAGGTAAGACGCTTCCTAGACAAGACAGGGTCACATAGATGGTTTGAAAATGTGTTGGTTGATGTATTTTTAAGCATAACTTTGCAACAAGTGTAGACACATTTTAACATTTTTAAAATGTATTAGCTGGTCATGGTATATATTGAGTGCAAACTTGTATTTAATAAAATGTTAGCTAAGATGCTAACTTAGCATCTCAGGAATGGAGTTTCTTCGATTCATCCATGCAAAAAAACATGAGTGGTCAGCTATGAAAAAACATTCATATACAGTCATATTCGAGCACTTTACACAGGTAGCCACTGATGTTTGGGGAGTGTTCATGTAACTGACCAGGGCAATTCTAGCCCCTATTTTAGTGGTTTTTTTAGTAAGTAAACTTAAGCCATTCATTTTTCAGTTAATCCTTCATTTTTAACGAGTGGCTAAGGCGGGAAAACGCTGGGATACAGGAGCACTGCTGGAGCCAATGCTTCCCTCTCCAATTCATTGATGGGGAGTGTGCACCCTTTCAGTGTAAATGCTTTGGCAAAATCGATCCCAACTTCTGGATCTTTCATATCGGGCTGGGAAAATATGCAGTGATGTCACGGGAAGATGACTGTTCGGCTGTGCTTAAAAAGAGCTTTATAATCTTTTTTTTTTTTTTTTAAATTCAAATTTGCTTGTGGACTTAATCCAAAATGAGCATTGTTTATATGTCAAGTGTCAGTTGGCCTGATCTTTTTAGAAAGTGAGACAAAAATTTATTGTAGAAAAAGTGTATTTGTCAGCATTGATTCATGCCATTCAATTTATAACTGATCACTTAGCTCATGCAGTCAATTGTTTTGGTTTCATAATCAGCCTAAAGAAAACTGAAGTACCATACCAACCTGTGTTGAGTGATGCGCATGTCTAACAGTTGTTAAGATCTGTGACGCTCTTCTCAAGTCTCAAGACAGAAGTTGTGCTGTCTATGGAGAGTGCTGTCACAGAATGCCACAATTAATGAGATTCTATGACACTTCCCGGGGCTGTGGAGCACCTCGTTACCTCCTGCTCTTAGCATGAAGAAGCCTTGTCTGTGCCTGCCTGGGTCCCTGACGCACACCCCATCAACATGCAGTCTACACAGGTCCCTCTGCAGGTTAGCAATAGGCACAGTCCAACCCTGAGTCCTTTGTGCATTCCTCTGGGCATCAAGCCCCTTAACCACTGCACACTCCCAGAATTAGCAGATCCACTTCTTATTACAGATTATAGCTTAACTAGTTACATTTTAGAAAACAGCTTTGCTTAACACACAGTGCTTAGGTTAGTTTATATAGAACACAAATATGTTTATATAACAAAGAACAGATCAAATTATAGTAAACAGAAATATTGGAAATCAAGAGTGACTCATACAATAAAATCATAACACGTAGTATAGAGACTATATTTAACTAACAAGATGCCCTTTTGCCTAATAAGGTTATTGCCTACCCAAAGTTCTTAACACCTTGTGGAAAAACAAAAAAACAGTGCCAAAGATACAACTACTTGCAGTGGTCATGGACAATCTTGTCTGTCCCACTGGTAACCATTTTTGCAGTTCTCACATTGGTCTGAGCTTACATAGATTCATAGATACTAAGGTCAGAAGGGACCATTATGATCATCTAGTCCGGCCTCCTGCACAACGCAGGCCACAGAATCTCACCCACCCACTCCTGCAAAAAACCTCTCACCTATGTTTGAGCTACTGAAGTCCTCAAATCATGGTTTAAAGACTTAGGGGAGCAGAGAATCCTCCAGCAAGTGACCCGTGCCCCATGCTACAGAGGAAGGCGAAAAACCTCCAGGGTCTCTTCCAATCTGCCCTGGAGGCAAATTCCTTCCTGACCCCAAATATGGCCATCAGCTAAACCCTGAGTGTATGGGCAAGAGTCACCAGCCAGATACTACAGAAAATTCTTTCCTGGGTAACTCAGATCCCCCCCATCTAACATATATGTTCACCTATAGTATATGCTGAATCCTTGTACGCTGACGTCACTGTGAGACTCAGTCATTCTCCAGTTAAGATTTAAGGTATTCTCCATGTAAATGAAACTACTAAGGATGAATAAAATGAAAAGTTTCTGATTGTTTTATGGCATAGCTAGGGAGGCAAAGTTAAGGTAATTTAAGTGCCTTGTTTAAAGAATGCAACCTTAACCTTGAATTCACTGGATTTCTAATTTTTTTTTTTAAATAACACTTTAAAAAAAAAAAGTTGATATGCAGTTAAATCACTGTGTGCCTGCAGACTTATCTGCACAGTCTTGGAGGGAGGGATTTACTTCAGTATTTTTTAATGCTCCTAGGTTTGGTTGGAGAGGAATTATTCTTGCAAACTGTAGGAGGCTCACAGTAAGGGCATCTTTATCTAGCAGACCTTAGGAAGTCTGGGGGTGCAGGCAAGGAAGGGAATCAGTAGGCACTTGATCGGCTGGCAACAAAGTTCCCTGTTAATTGCAGTACCTATCCACTCTCCTGTTGAGGAAACTGATGCTGCAGATCATTTAAGGTCCTCAAAAAGGGAGTCCCTCTTCTCTATACCTCTGTAGGCCCTTAGCATTTTCTTCTATATACCTTTTAGGTTCTGTAGAAGTGTGCCTCCCTTTCTTTCTAATAGCTGATGGTAGAGGCATTGGAAGATGGGTAGGTGGAAAATACTGTCAGGAGGCTTGAGATTCAGCAGACCTGGGGAAAAACTGGCCTATGTGACTTGTGCTCTTGGTCCATTGTGTAGGGGTTTTCTGGGAGGTGAAGACTTCTTCCTGGCTTCCTGTGATCTCTTCCCTGGTGCCCCCCTACATGATCTTTAGGGCTCTTTCTACATGGGAGAACTGAGTGGCAAAATTATACTGTTGTATTTATACCACTGTAGCTATACCAGTACAGGTCCCTGTGTGGATGTTCTTGTTCTGGAATAAGAATGTCTGCATGGAGAGTTTTATACTTGCATAGCTCTAGTGATATAATTAGGAGGTAAATTTCCCCTTGTTGTCAAGCTCTCAGTAGGATTTTCAGCCCCCTGGCAGTCTTTAACATCCATCCCCTGTGACACTTCTGGGGAGGGCAACCCCACCTGCTGCAATTCTCAGAAAGCTTCTTAGGAACCATTTGTAAGTCTTAAGATATTCATCAGGGTTCCCTGGGTCTCGCTCTCCTCCCATTCACCCCTACAAAAAAAGCACTAATGGGCTCTCCCTGCCCACCTGCATGTAGCAGACACATTTTGGGAATTAACAAGCCTACTAAGGGTTGTGGAGGTTCAATGGTGGTACCAGTGAACCTACTAAGGTCTGAGAGATCAAAGAGCTTCTTAAGACCAGCAGTTTTGTTGTTGGTTCTTCCCTTCTGGGTTCTTGATCTTCCCCCATCCTGTGGAAAATCTACTCTGAATTTCCTAAGGTCGTCAGGCTGACTTCCTGTGGGCCTCAGAAGGTGGGGCGTAGAGAGCGGTGTTTGAAAATTGGGACTCGGTGGTGGGCCAAAGATTTGGGATGCATTCTAGCCTCCTTAGAGCTGCCCTTCAAAAGATCTTTTGGTGGAAAATCTTTCTATTGAGAAGCCAAGGTACTGACTGGCTTTCCTTGCAGAGACAGATCTCAATGTAAAAGGCTGGAGAAATTAAAATCAAAATTAAAAAAAAAAGAAAACTCAGGCATCCAGCAGTCATATGGCATGTTGTACTAAGACTGCATGACCAGATAAATCCATAGCAATGTTTGAAATTGAAGAGGTAGCTTCTGAAATTAAATGTTTTTCAGCTACACATTGGTGCTATGCACTAGCTCTGAGCTAGGGGAGTCTAGTACACTGTTTTTCTTTTCTTTTTTTCTGTTTTTTGGCTGTGAAGTGGAAAAAGTTAGACTGTTTGAACTATGAGCTCTATTTAGGGTGTCATAGTTAGAAACTCTTGTCTAATTTGCTTTACATTTGTAGGACAAATCTACCTCTGTGTGAGGTTAAATTTTCAATTTTGAGATTGGTTTTGTGGGAGGATGGAGGGAAACTTGTTTTAGAACATAAATACAGATGCAACCTTAGCTATGGAGTGATTGCTGTCACTCCATAATGTATCCCAGTGCTTCCTGCTATTCAAACGATATGCAACTTTCTTTTCTTAAAAAGTGAGATTTGGTTCTTAATGGAAAGCAGGAAATATTGTTCTAAACCCCAGAATTGGTCAATGCCAGATCACAGTTCACGAATTGATTTTGAAAATGAGGGCCGGAGAAGAGGGAAATGATG